CTTCCAATTAGGTATCCCATGATCAATTATCCACCTCCAAAATCTGTATGAGTCCCACTCTCCATCATCCCAGCTGCCTGTGATGGTAAACATACTACTTTGCCTCTGTCAATAAACACCATTACCTGGCCTAGGCTTCTAGGTGCTTCTCATACCCACTGAGTTTATGAGTCCATTTCCCATAGCACTTCCCACTTGCCATTGCAGCTACAGAAAAGAACCCCTGAACTACTCAAAGTTGCGTGCCTCATCATTGTTTTACTCAAGGTCTTGGTGAAGACAGTTTCTTCTGAGGCCTCTTGGGGGGCATAGCTATAGGAGTCACACTCGATTAATGTAACCAAGGGCTTCTATCTTTGTCGACAAAGGCTGCCTTGCACTATTTTCTGACCGATCAAGTTTATTTACTCTAGATCTCTATGAAACATAGTTGTCACTCAACTAGCCAATTCGACACTGAGAACTGCTTCCACCTGCTTGGTCTAGCACACAGGATCCAAAATCTGTGAGGTATGTGCCTGTATTGATAAATTCAGTCTGATCTGTAATTATGTTCTTCCCTCCTTGATACAGCTTCCTCAGAAGTCATTTCCCTGCAGACTTTGCTGATATGAATTAGCTAGCAATCATATTTAATTCTTTCCTTCAATCACCTTCTCCTCCTATGTTTACTTTTGTAATTTCCCAAATACCCACTCCTCCATCACCCATACTCAAAACCCACACTTTGGTTTCAAGTCTAAAGACATCACTAGGGTGAGTAAGTGCAAAGAGAGTAAGTACTTCATCCAGGGCAACTCCTTCAATGGACTGTGAAATAAAGTTGCCTTACTCTCTGAAATCAACAATGTTTACAGAAATACTTTTGCATATTTTACAGGCTTTTTAAGTGTTCTGAATTGAGAGGATTACTCTGTACAGCACAAGCACCAAATTCCTGTAAAACTCGCCTGCAACAATTTGATGCTTGTAATCACTGTCCTATTAGGAAACCTTCCTCCTTCTATCCTTCTGTGTCACTTCATGTTCCTGGTTTTGCTTTTCTCCCTCAGTTTCTGGCCATTCATCACTATTCTAAGATAATCTTTTATCTTCTCTATCTTCTCTCTTCCCTTCCCATAGTTCCAACCACAGTCAATTATTCTTTTTTTTTTCATTCATAGCTACATGCTTACTTTTTCTCTCTCTTCTGAACTCCTCTCCCACATTTCCAGCTGCACAACAGACACCCCAAAGTTGCCATTACAACATGAAACCTCTGAGACTGAACTCCCTGTCTTCTTATAAAATAAGTTTACCATCACCCAAATTAGGTTCTGAGAATCATAGCCAAGTTGTTCTCTCTCACTCACACCATCTACTGCAACTTCTTTCAAATATCTCCATAGCCTCTAGAATCCATACCATTTTTTATACCATTTTTTGCTAAAATATTTTCAAAAGGTTCCCATTGCCTTGAGGCAAAAAACAACAATTTAAAAAACCCTATATAGTATAAAAGGTCAGGCATCAGTAATCTACTCAGTCTTTTCCCAGCTCTGTCAGTCCCTAAGCAGATCTCCAGTTCAGCCCTTGACCTCCAACCACATTCCCTAAGGTAATCTCAAGTGTCTATTATTTCTGATACTCCTCTTTCATGAATTCATCATCTCTGGTCATGCTATTCCCTTCATCTTGCCACTCCCAACCCTTCTTCTCAACTGGATTAGGTAAAGAACTCAAGAGCTGGAGGATAGATAAAACAGAACCAGAGGGGGGGGGGGGTGAGGGATGCAACAATAATGTCCTTGAGAGGGTATCCTATGCTTAGCCATTTCCTTTCCTAAATTATAAGGGTGAGGAGGGGTAAAAATTACAAAACCTTCCAGATAGATGGTTAGGAGACATAGAGCAAAAGGAATCTGTGCCCTATGCCTAGTAGAACCCTGAACATTGCAAAGATCCCATGTTCCTATCCTCAGCATACATGGGAGAACAGAGTAGACATAGCAGCAGAGTGGGAAATCCAGAAGAAGAACCTTACATGGTCTCATAGAGGGCCTGAGTGCACATTCAGGGTCAGGCAAGAGAATGAATGACCTCACTGCACCAAAAAAAGTATTTCAGAGCAGCAAACAGCATGGAAGAGGTGACTCAGCACTGACAATCCCTCAGTGGCTGAGAACATTCTTATGTTTGAAATGGAAGACAGAGGAATTACCTGGGTGAAATAACCCAAGACTAACAGGAATGACAATGTCTCAGCTAATGTCACAGAGGTCAGTCACAAAGACCCACGCAGCGTATGGCCCTTTTCAATGCCTGAATATCATAAAGCTACTCTGCCTTCTCTCAACCCCCTCTTTCTTTTCATGAACACAGCCTTGGGTCGAGAAGGGGGAGGGTGCTAAATTGATGAAGATGTAATCTCTGCTACCTAGCAGAGTGAGAACTCTGAACAGAAATTAAACTCATTTACAAAACAATAAAAATAATCATTTCTTAACCACCTGATTTTGTGTTTGAGATCCACATCTTCATATATGTATTATGTATACATCTAAGTATATATTTTTTTCATTTATCCATAAATCATCAATGTGTATCTTAGTCCATTTAGGCTGCTACAACAAAGTGTCACAGACTAAGTGGCTTATGAAAAACAGAAATTTATTTCCTACAATTCTGAAGGCTGGGAAGTCCAAGATTAAGGTGCCAACAGATGTGGTGTCTGGTGGACTTGCTTCCTGGTTCATAGATGGCATTTTTCTCACTGTGTCTTCATGTGCAAAGAGGGACAAGGGAGCTCTCTGAGGTCTCTTCTAGAAGGGACACTAAAATCATCCCTGAGGGGTGTGCCTGGGTGGCTCAGTCGGTTGAGCATCTGACTTCAGCACGGGTCATGATCTCACGGTTCCTAGGTTTGAGCCTGTGTCAGGCTCTGGGCTGACAGCTCAGAGCCTGCAGCCTGCTTCAGATTCTGTGTCTCCCTCTCTCTATCCCTCCCCCAATTATGCTCTGCCTCCCCTAAAATAAATAAATAGATAGAGAGATAGATAAAATCATTCCTGAGGGTTCCATCCTCATGACCTAATCAACTCCCAAAGGCTCCACCTCCAAATACTATCACACTGGGAATTAGATTTCAACATATGAATTAGGGGAGGGTGCACAAATATTCAGTCCATAACAAAGTGGTTATAAATATTGTGACAAAAAATAAACTGTCAGTAAGAGGAGTTTGTGACTATAGAACATCATTCTAAATACTTTTAGACATGAAAATCAACCAACTGGTAAAACAAACCAAAGTCCTTTGTGGGAAACACTATCTTTAAGGGCCTCTAGGAAGTCATTTTCTAAACTTTCTTGAAAACTCAAATAAGAATTTATTATAAATAATAGAATCCGACAGCATTGGGAGGCAATTTGTAAATTCCATTCTATGATGAAGTCATGCAGCTGGAAACTTGAGGAATAGACTATATAAAATGACCTTAGAGGGACTTCAAAACAGCAACCCTCATTATATTTCTGGATCCTAATTTTCCTACTTCCTATATAATTTCAGGACATTTAAACTGCCAGTTGCTAGAAGAGAACAAATAAAAATACTCAGGAATTTAAGACACAACTATAGAAAATACATATCAAAATATGTACATTGACATATATATACACATAAGTAGTAGTAAAAATACATAAATATACAATATATAAGAACTTTTTAAAATCTTTTATAGTTTTGTCTCATTTTTTAAAGTATTTTGATATGTATGTATATATGAATCAGTGGGAGACCTACTGATTTATATAAAATCATTGGCAAAAGTAGCTTATTGATGTAGAAAACCAGCAGAAAATACAGGAACACTTCTAATTATAAAAGATGGGAACTATAAATGGAAAAAACAGCATAAAGACATTGAAGCTGAGTCAAGTCAAGGGAAGTCACTAAGCTCTTCTTTTAAGAATAACTGTTAAACAAATTTCATTGAAATTATACTTCACAACATGTTAATTCCCAGTCCCTAAGGGATTCCATTTTGCACAGAACCTAAATAAACTGCCTGAAAAAATTTTGCTGAGATTGGATTTAATTACCAGACCTAATTCTTCAGTAATGGAAATTCAGCCAAACAACTGGGAGAAACTGCTGACTGAATAGAGACCTGAGTGACCTAGCTAACTGGAAGGGAACAACATTTTTGATTAATTGAAAGGACAAACACTTCATCTTAAAATATCTAAAGGTGAGACGTGTCACACTAAATAAATCTACAACACTGTTTGATAGCACTTTGCCAATAACCCTGTGGAGTACCTTTTCATATGATAATATATTAAATAGCAAGAAGCATAGTTTTGCAGGCACCTTTCTACACCCAAAGTAAAATTTAGTATTTTTTAGAGGCTCCTGAATAGGCATTTCTACTACTCATAAAAACAATTTCTTACATTTTCAGGGTTATTTTTACTGCAAAGGTCACCAATTGTAATTGGTTGCAGTACTTTTGTATGGCATACTTTTGTATGGAGTTGGTAAGAGACCGCTAAGTGAAAAATCATTTTGGGAGCATCTAAGTAGAGCTGTGCATGTCTTCACAAGATAGGTTGGCTCCATAGCAATGAACTGCAATGATTCTACATATTATTTCAAACATGGAAATGTCATAATTTTTCCCTCTGCAAAGCTATCCTGAAATCAGCAACAATTAGTATGCTTGTTAAAAAAAAAAGGTGACTTTACTGGTATTAGTAATTCAATGCCACATTAGAATCAAATTTATTATCACTGTACCAACAAATCTGAAAATGGTGTATTTTACTTGTATGTTAAAATGTTTTTAAATATTAAAAGATCTGTTCAAATATTTTTCTTAAATAATAAAAGGAAAAAAAAACAATTTGGCTACTTTAAGAAGTCACTGCAGGACTTGTTTATGAAAATGATATATTGCTAACTAGGAAGAAGTTATTTTTAAAGGGACACAAAATGGTTATTGCCAAAGTAACATCACCTGATTGGAAGAAATTCATGACGGGAATCATGCTGCAGACAGAAACATAACATGTCTCATTTTTCTTTCTTCTCTCCTTGTTTTAGCCTAAAGGGAAAGAACAAGGAGTTTCTTTATCCTCAGAGCTGCCTGGAACACATATGGAGTCTAGTGTCAGGTAAAGAAGCTGAGGGATGAGCAGAAATGCATTCAGAGATGAGCAACCAGAAGAATGAGGAGTCTGGAGACCAAGTCACAGGGTGTCTAGTTTGGAGAGGGGACAATTAGGGAAAAATACAATAACTAATTCAAATATTTGGAGTTCCTTTTTAAAATTCAATTTATTTAAACTAAAACCAAAAACAGTTCACCCATTTCCATGCCCACCCCAGCCCCCACCTGCTTCTGGCAACTACCAACCCATTCTCTGTATCTGTGAGCTTGGTTTGGTTTTAAAAAAATGTTTTTAGATTACACATATAAAAGAAATCATATGGCATTTGTCTTTCTCTGACTTATTTCACTTCAGATAATGCCCTCAAGGTCCATCCATGTAGTCACAAAATGGCAAGATTTCCATTTTTTATGGCTGAATAATATTCCATGGTATCTATATACCACATTTCTTGCTCTATAATGTAGAGTGTGTCTTTAAATGTGTTTGTGCAGTGACAGAAAGCAAAATCTACCCATATCTGGGCAAGAAGCTGAAGACAGCATCCTGCCCCAACTGCAAGCCATGGACTTCTGGCCTCCTCCTGCATGTTATTACTCCCTTAATTTCCTTTTGTGGGGCTATGTTCCCTCAGGTTTCTCCCCTAGGTCTTTTCCCTTTTAAAAAAAAAATACATGTAACACATTTAGATAGAAGTAAGTCTTACTTGGCCATCAAAAAAAATACATGTAACACATTTAGATAGAAGTAAGTCTTACTTGGCCATCATTATATAGAGGATGCTATTTGCTTGGTCTTTTGTAGGAATCTTTATTATTTATTTCAAACTGCAAATACATACATATATGTATGTATTATATATAAACATAAATTTAATTCATGTTCCTTAGAGGGAAAAATTAGATTATGTATAAGATAGAAATTATCCATAGTCCTGCTACTCAATCACTGCTAAAATTATGCTCCTTTTCCTCATAACTTTTCTGAGTATTTTAAAAATATTTTTTAATGATTAATTGTTTTTGAGAAAGAGAGACAATGCACGAGCAGGGGAGGGACAGAGAGAGAGGGAGTCACAAAATCTGAAGCAGGCTCCAGGCTCTAAGCTGTCAGCAGAGAGCCTGACATGGGGCTCGAACCCATGAACCATGAGATCATGACCTGACCTGAAGTCAGAAGCTCAACCGAAGGAGCCACCCAGGTGCCCCTTTTCTGAGCATTTTTATAAAGTTCTCATCTTTGTACATAGTCACTTTTACAAGCAGTTCTCTTCACTCATTAAAACAGAGATTTTTATGCCCTTAAAAATACTTTAAAATATTCAATGATTTTATACCTTTCTATTATAATAGTATTTAACTATTTTTTTTTTTATCATTTTGGGAGGATTTAGAGTTTATCAACTGTCCCTATTGTAAATATGTTGTGTTAATCTGTTGTTAACCCATCTGGTTTTTTGGTAGTTTGTTTTTGTTTTTCTGAAAATTCTCATTTTGCTCCATGACCTCTTTTTTGGTCGTTTAGGCTTTGCCTCAGGGAAAGGACAAGAAGGCAAGTGAAAAGGGTCCACACTCAGCTCCCAAGATTTAAAGTAGACTTCTGGGGGGTGCCTGGGTGGCTCAGGTGGTTAAGTGTCTGACTTTAGCTCAGGTCATGATCTCATGGTTCATGGGTTCAAGCCCCGCATCGGGCTCTGTGCTAACAGCTGGCTCAGAGCCTGAAGGCTGCTTCAGATTGTGTGTCTCCCCTGCTCCCACTGTCTCTATCTCTTTCTCAAAAATAAATAAAACATTAAAAAAAACGAAATAAAGTAGACTTCCAAAACTTGCAGCAAAGATGAACAAAAAGTTATCTTTGAGCCTCAAAAGCCTGACTTTTGCATGTCAAATAAAATCATGATGTTATTGGTGGCATTTATAACATACACAATAAACGTGAAAGCATGTGAGATTAGCCAAAGCAGTTTAGAAGGGATAAAAACATACGCGAGAAGTCTGAGATATGAGGGCAGAGCCATGGAGTTAGATGGTATGGGTCTCTGAAAAGAGATCCTGCCCTCTGACCATCATCACCAGGGCCAAAACTCTTGGGAGAGGGGGAGGGGCAACGAATTCCAGATAGGTTTTGGGCTCTGAGTGAAGAGGAGACCAGTGCCCCACTTCCTGACTAGAGACTAGCCAAGAGGCAAGCCTTATGGAGGGCTCTACCTCAGCAAGATGACAGTGGGTAGAGATGATGCCATGGGGTTGTCTATAGGGAGATACCTAAGAAAGCTCCACAGAGCTTCTTTTGGCCACATTGTGGAATAGAAGAATAGCTTAATTTTGCCTATGCCCTCCTGAGAGGCATGGGATCATTAAAAGACAGCTCACACTCTCTCATTAAGAGACATCTTATTAATGTCTTAAGAGACATTTGTCTTAATGTTGGGGCATCTGAATGGCTGAAAGGTGTGCCAGTGGAGTGCAGCAACTAGACCAATGGGAACCCAGATGCCTCAGCAGATGCTGCAGTGGAAAAGTCAAGGAGCTCAAGAACCAGTAAGAATACTGCACATCTCCAGATGCCAGCTGGGGCAGAGAGCAGCCCAGGTATACCCTCTTCTTCGTGCATTGATGTAATGTAACTTCCTCATAATTGAGATGCAATCTCAGAAGGGGGAATCCTGAATTTACTGAGAAAACCATCATTTAACTAAGTCTCTCCAGAATTGCCCAAGATTAACTATCCAAATAGAACAAGGGGCTCAACATCAATGTTAATTTTAGTTGGATAAAAATTATTACATGTTTGCATACCCAAATCTGCTACCTCTGGATAATCAACACCATACTCCACCATTCATTGATTTGCTGCATCAAGAATCTGAATGCCTTTTTATCTGGTTTTAGTCACTTACCTTTACACTCACTTATTCTTTCAGTGATATTTTTAGCACCTATTTTCTAGGCACTATATTAGACATTAAGGTTAAAGCATGGAACAAAACAGATATAGTTCCTCTCTGTTTTCACTGACTTCCAGTTAAAAAGATTGACAATGCAGAATTTATTACAACAAAGTAATGTGGCCATTTTGAAAAGGGAGGGATCCTAACCTGGCCTTTTTGGCAAAGCATGAGTTACTTAGAACCCCAATTAGTAGACATAAGACAGAGAATAGTATCCTAGTATCTTTTGGAAGAAAACAGCTTATCCAAAATGTCAGGAATCAGAGGGAAGGATGATATGGCCATACATTAGTAACCATGCACTTAGTATTTGAGGATGTATGTTGTGTATCTTATAAATGGGCTTTCAAGGACCATGTTGCTATAGTTTAAAGGAAAAGGTAGGACTTAGAGATAGAATTAGAAAAATAAATTCTGTGAAGAATACACCCTCTGTATTTGATAGACTACCACCTTTATTTCCACTTAAATAAGTAAACAGATACCTCATTTTTCCATGACTGGAACAGAGATAATCACCTACCTCAATATTAATTTTCTACTTTTTCTATGACTGTAAAAAAGGATTTGACTCAGTAAAATAAGTCATGTGCTTAGCTTTTCTCCAATTCTATTTTTTTATTTATTTTTTTAAAATTTTTTATGTTTTATTTATTTCTAGGAGAGAGAGAGAGGGAGACAGCGTGAGCAGGGGAGGTCAGAGAGAGAGGGAGTCACAGACTGAAACAGGCTCCAGGCTGCCCAACGCAGGGCTCGAACCCACCAACCGCAAGATCATGACCTACCTAAGTGAAAGTCGGTCGCTTAACTGACTAAGCCACCCAGGCGCCCCAGCTTTTTTCCAATTTTAGATATGATCAGGGAAATAAATTCTGTCTATCCAGAAATAAGCAAACGTATGGGAGGTACCTTCAGGAAATCTTAAGTTTCCCTCACTCTGCTGCCTTCCTAGAATGCAAGCATGATACATGGGTCTCCAGCTGTCATCTTGAAACATGAAGACAAAATTCAAACCATAGGATTTGTGGAGTGAAGAGCGAGAAGATCTTGTTTACCAATGGTTTTGTAAAAGCCACTATACTAGCTTCAAAATTGCTTTTACATGAGAGAAATAAACTTCCCTCATGGATCTATGTTCTTATTTATCAGGGATATCATATATGTAGCTAAGCCTAATCCTGCCTAACACAGTATGGTCAGGAGCTGATTTAGAATAGCTGAGAAATATTCTAAATCTGTGGCAAAGGCCCAAAACAAAAATCAGAACATCGTAAAGCTTGAAAGAAATGTAGAAGTCGTTAGTTCCAACTGCTTCATTTTATTAACCTGACCATATCACTCTCAGGGTTCAGGCTGTTCATCTTCCTCATTGATAAGATAATGTCTTAAGTCTAAGCTTCCTGAATGGTATGATCTTGTTCCTTCTACACACCATCCTTATTTCCTAACATAGAAATTATACTTAAAAAAACAGAAGAAGGAGGAGGAAGGAAGGAAGGAAGGAAGGAAGGAAGGAAGGAAGGAAGGAAGGAAGGAAGGAAGGAAGGAAGGAAAGAAGAAAGGTAGGGAGGAAGGGAGAAAAACAGAAAGAAAAAAGAGTTCTATGCTCAGGAATTATCAATTATTTCTAGTATCCTGATAAAACATGTATGTCACAACCCCATGTTTATTATGTACTATTTTTTCTATCAAAAATATGCTTCCCTTGCTTAGCCATTTTGGTCAAAACTTTCCTTCTCCATGAAAGCTGCCTACCTCCAAATTATCAGGCAGGCTGATCACTTCCTCCTTTGTGTTATCTTTACGATGTATGTGTTTTTCTAACATTACACATAAACATGTAAATAGTCACTATCTAAGGAGACATTGTTTATTTCTGTATTCCCAGGGCCCAGTACAATAACATATAGTAGGTGCTGAATAATTATTTGTTGGATTGACTTTTATTTCAAATTGGAAAAATTAAGAACTCTGAAACA